TTAACTATCACAACTGTGGAGGCTTCATCACTGAGCAGGGCAATCAGCACATCTGGTCACAGTCATCCCCGTATGTATTGCATTCTGTTAAAATTACAGCCAGTTTCTTCCTATCCCAAAATTTGCATTTATAGGTCTAAATTGCCATATGTGGAGTGAGGTGCAGTGTGGATTCCAGCAAGCCAAACTAATCCTGCCTTTCCCCTCTCTTCACTTTCCCATTTCCCTTTCCTTCATTTTCCCTTCCACCTACTCCCTCAACAGCCAGCATTTCAGGCGCATGGAGTAACACAGTCCTCACTGGACTGGTACTGGGGGCTTTGCCTCCTCTGAAGGTTTTGTATGTTGGCAAAATTTGGTGCATCTCATGGGAGGTGTCATTTTGCCAATGTAAAGACCCACATCTGGAGAATGAATTCATTAGTGGCACGTTGTCTTACAGGATAAACTTATTTGTTTGTAAATCAGCATACCATGCTTAGTTCAGAGCACATAATGCAGGTAGCAATTACTGGTAAAAAGCTTAATTCTTTTGCCATTAAAAGATCCACATGCAGCCTTTTTTAAAAGTCAAATCTCCACCTTCCTCACAAAGGCTTCCCACTGAGGATGAGATCTGTGAGCATTGTATAGCCCTCAAGTTCCTAGAAAATCTTGCTCTGCCTCTGAATTTTGCATCAGGGTTTTGCAGGGCAAGCAAGGTTCCTGGTTATCACATCCTAAAGCAGCTCCAAGAGAAATCCCTTTTTATTTGCGCATTTATTTGCAGGTCCTGTCTTCTGCCCACACTGCTTTTTATAGCCGGTATTTTAAGAAATGAAGCTAATATCTTCCATACCTCTGTTGAACAGTGAATGAAGCATCTGGGTGGATTTCCTGTATCTGCAAGAACACACTCCAGTGACTATATGGTAAAGATGTTCCCTGACAGCATAATACCGCAGGGGATCCCTGTGACCATGCATGCAGAAAAGAGGAAGAGGCTGGCTAACTGAGAAAAATAAACAGTGACATATATTTTAAAAAGGATGTGGAATTGGGGGAATGTGTTCATGATACTATTATCTTTTCCAGTACAATGTCCTTCTAGTCAAAAAGGGAAAAAATAATTTTTTTGTTAGGAGGAATCTTTTTTTCCTATTTTAAAGTCAATATACATGTGCTCAGTTAACTGCACAGTATCTTGAGCAAAACAGCAGGGCAGTCATCTGTCAAATTACATGCGATCCTGTGCATGCTTAGACAGGAAAAAATCTTGACAGCTCCAGGCATTTTGCAGCCAACTGTGTTGTCGTAACATGCATTGGATTGTGCCTTAAGACTCTTTAATAAATCTTTTAATAGGTTGCAATTAGCTACAGTGTGGTTTGGGTTCTCAATCAGAGTTCCCTTTTTTCTGGGTCATCTTCTATGTTTGAACATTGATGTGCCTCTCACAAAAATTTAGCAGGTGATGCATTTCACCTCACTTGAACACACGTTAGCTGTAGTATCAGTCATATTTTAGTGTGATAGTAATGAGCATGCATATTACCGCATCCTAGGTGCAAGGAGCCCTGGGAATATATAATTTCCAAGCTACCTGGTGCCCCTATTCGGGCGCCCTTGGAAAACGACGTGTGCCAGGGTTCTTCACTGATTGGCACACGTAGAAGCTGAGTCTACATTCTGAGGCAGAGAAGAATGTCTTGGGAAATGGTGCATGATTCATAATGTAGCAGAGCATTAGAAGCTGTAAGAAATTTGTGCTCTGAATGTGATAAATGCAAACTCTGATGTCATCCTTCCATTCTTTCCCCTTGTTCTGTGATTGCACGAGGAAAGCTGCTGAGACTTTCACAGAGGGAAGCACTGCCATGCCGGATTCTTATCATCAGCAGCCAACATCACTAATGCTGGCCAACCAAATGTTTCTGGATACTCACAAACAGGGCATGTAGTGAATGCCTTCTCTAGATGTTTGTCCTCAGCTCCTGGTATGCCACATGTGCGTTCAAAGCTTCCCCTAAGCTGTCAATGGCTCACAGAATCACAGAATAGTGGAGTTAGAAGGGGCCTAGAAGGTCATCAGGTCCAACACCCTGCTAGTGCTGGACACCAAGTTCCACCATCCCTCTTCGATGGCTGTCCAGTTGCATCTTGAATGCCTCCAGTGTGGGAAAGTCCACAACCTCCCTTGGTAGTTGGTTCCATTGTCGTACTGCCCTAACAGTCAGGAAATTTTTCCTGATGTCTAGTCATTCATGAACACATGGAGAACTTACATCTTGGTAAATAATATCATCTGAAGCATGGACTGTAAGTCCATGAAAAGTGTGAACGAGCATAAGCCGCCTTGAGTGAATATATTTAGTGAAAAGGCAAGATATTGATGATGATAATCGGTCTAAAATACATGGATGTTGCCAAGAGCAGACGTGGATGGACACAGGTTCTTTTCACTTTGCAAAGACATCTCATCCAAGCAAACCTGAGAACCAACGAAAAAGGTCTAACCAGTTTAGTGTTACATCCACTTAGTGGGAAATCCACCAGATTCACTTTAAGACAAGCGGCTGGTGCTGACAATCTCACAACTGGTTGTTATCCTCTCTGTAATTATGAAAAAAACCAATAGGCAGGCCGACAGCAATTAACAAGTGGAGAGCAGAGCTTTTAGGGAGAACAAAGGAATTGAGGCAGCCTTCCCCAGGCTCCTGAATCCAATGTTTATTGATTAGTGCTGCATCACATCTTCTTGAAAGTGACATTTCTGTAGGCAAATGAGGGATTTTTCACCAGAATCTGTCAATGTAGAAGAAAGTATGTGATTAAAAAGAGAAAGAAAGCAGCATGTCATAACCTTTAATTCCATCAGCCCAGATATGCAAATTTAAGAAACATACAGAGACAGCCCAAGAGCTTTAGGTGCTGGGGGTGGAAAACATTCCAAATGAGATTCTCCACTAATTAACTTGAAGCACGATCCATGATGGAGCTTGGTGCAAAGGGTTCTGTCCCTAAAAAGGATGCTTCCGTGCAAGGAAGAGCATCTGCATTTCCCTTCCATCCCTCCCAACCAGCTTTTAGCAGATGTTGGGGGAGCCAACCTGGTTTCCCAGATGGCCACCCACCCCCCAATCTACTCTTTCCTGGTTCCCCAACTTTTGTACATTATTTTCTCCATTCGGAAAGTAAAAGTCGCTTTTAAGACTAAGTGACTGGCCAGAAGAGGCTATGTTCAAATATGCTGGGCTTTTAACCTTGCCTTTTGTCCCATCCACCAGTGAAATGCAAGGTGCTCAACTCAGTGCTGCAAGGTGCTCAAATCCCTTAATTTACCACTTTCTTTTTCGAAATTATTTCTTTTTTGAAATTATTCAGTAGTGCTTCTAGCACCCGAGCATATCATCTCAAAACCATATTCCACTGCTTTTGACCTTGAATTAATGAATGACATCCAGCTGGAAATGGAAAAAGAAAGAGAATTTCAAGCCAATAGGTGGAAATTTAATTTTATACTTAATTCCTAAAAACTTGTGGAACAAGCTTGAAAAAGGATAAAAGACCCTTAGGGCTCAATCTGATGCATATTAACAGAGAAGAAAGGTGTACAACTCTGAGCAGGGCTGAGGCATGTAGGAAAATTGTAGGGGTTTTACTGTCCAAATGTGCAGTGAGCCCTAATTGCAGTTTTCTCAGGCTGCTCCCTGTAGACAGTAAAGTCCAGAAAGACAGGCCACCTTGGTGCTCAGGGAAGTGCCTCCGGGAGAGCCTCAGCTCAACCCTGATTGGTTTAGTTTGGTTTTGAAGGACTGCAGCTTGGTCTTTTCCCAGGAATAGTAGCAAATTAGCTTTTATTCCAGAGATTTTTAAAACCCTAAAATAGCACTCAAGATGGAGAAGTGGCAGATTGATTAAGAAGTCTTCTAGGGAATGAGGATTTTACAGCTGCAAAACCCACACTGGGATTAATGGAGTCCCTAACACATCTAGGCAGTGCACAAAATCCCTAAGGTCCTGCCCAAACCGGCTCAGAATCCCAAGCATCTATCAAAGCACAAAATTACTGTACCCCGGGGATTGTAAAGGAAGCACCTGTATTAAAACAGTCATGCTCATCTTTGTTTTCTGGCTGTTGTTTTAAGCAGGGGTCTAAAAAGTGAGCCCAGCAGATGCAATTCAGTTTTGAACCTCACTGAAGGGGCCACCGGTGCCCAGCAGTGTGGACATAAAGCCCCCTGAATGCATCCCTTGCTTCTGAGCAAACGTGTGTGAGAGATTCTTTTGCAAAGGTGCAAATCGGACGCATCCAGATCCAGAACAAGGACCACTGTGTGCAGCGGGGCTTGCCCACCAGAGAGTGTGTATAGAGAACTGAGCTACAAAAGCAGGCCTTAGCTAGGGTGGCCACACCTAGCTTTTGCAGAGAAAAATCCTCTTTTTGAAAGCACCTGAACAGCACCTGAGCAAGTCACTTGGTCACCACCTTCTACACATCGGTTACATGCACAGCATTTCCACTGAAATTATACTTAACTTTGGGCCCAACTTCAACTGCAGGTCAATGAGGCCAGGTCACCTCTCCTTCCAAGGTGGGCAGCCACTAAGAAGAGGGCTTTTGCTGCTTCATAGTTGTGGAGTCAGCTTGCCAAAGAGGGTTTTTTTTAGCATCAGGTGAAGACACTCTTACCTTCCCAAGCATGCTAGTCTTTCAGCTTCTGTTGTTTCTAATTCAGAGCCTACACTTTAGGTCTTTGCACTGCCGCTTGGCTGCATTTTCCACTTTCTAAAAACACTGATCCTGTCCTTTTAAACGTCTGCATTTTATCACGGTGTAGTTAATTTGTTGCGAATCATCCAGGGAGCTTCGCCTATCCTGCAGGCTGGAATTATCATCAACGGGACAGCAATCTGTATTAGCATATGCAAACGTAATGCAAAGTGAGTGTGGGTGGTGAGAAAGGGGGGAGGGCCCCCGCGTTCTCTGCCCGCCCCCTCGCCGTTCCCGGGCCCTGGTCGCCTAGCAACCCTTGAGCGTCCGAGCGCCGCGCTGCCTGCGAGCCTCGCGCGCCTGTTGCTGCGTTTGCTGCTGCGCGTCGCCCGCGGGCGCCTCCACCATGTCCCAGGTCCTGAGGAAGAGATCGGGGCGACGGACAAGGGCGCCTCCGCGCAAGCTGTAAGTGCGCCAGGCCGCGCGCCTCTGAGTCTTCCAGGAGCGCCCCTTGCAGCGCTCCCCGGCCGCGGCTCGAAGGGGGTCGAGCTTTCTAGGGTCCCAAAGCCAGGCGGTGCCGAAAAATCCGGGAGGATGCTTGGATGGCCTGTGGGAGTTTTCACCAACTCATCTGAGCAGTCTTGGCGCATTAACTGCAACAGTAAATAGGGAGGCGGAAATTCAACAGGTGCAGCAGATGCTAAGGAGACTGGATCCTGACGCAGTTATTGTTCCTGAAGGAGCAGCGAGAAACTCTCCTGGTATTTGGTTTGGGGGTGGTGTTTTTTTATTTTTAAATTGGAAAACTTTATAATGCCACCCCTAGACAAAAAACACAACACTTGATTCAGGCCCGCCTTCATCAATCTGGTGGGCTCACTATCGACCAGCGACTCCTTTCCCTTCCCGGCCAGCACAGCTCCTTCCGCCTGGGAATGGCAGGAGAGGGGCTCCAACAGGGGGAGAGCGCCACGTTGGAGGCACGTAGTCTGGATAAAGTTGTGGGGTGTGCTATAAAGTTTGTTCCCTCTGAAACACCTACACAGCAGAACCCCAAAGATGTCTGGTGCTCCAAAGAGCAACAGATGAGGCAGAAATCAGTCTGGCTTGGTTTCCCTAGCAGGGATGTACAAATGGCTTCACCTGTTGAACCCCACCCTGTCTTTCTAGTCACTGTTAAAGGCATGGCAGTCCTGCCAGTGGGAGATGGTGATGACGGCAACCTATATTATAAAACTTATATATTCCTCAGCTAATTATGAAAATATTATCTTGGTGGTATATGCTTGGAATCAGTTTGATACTTTTCAGCACTGTTGTCTGGATGTCTTATTTTTGGAGAGTGTTTTTCAAGCCTTGTAAAGCTTATCTTAAAATAAACTGACATATAGAAATATACACATTTGAAAGATATAGGAGACTTGGCCTTAGAAATATTTTTTAAAAAGAAATAAAAAATATGGGTACAGTGCAGTCCTATACGACTCTTCTCAGAAGGGCCTGTTGAGTTCCATGGATCTTTGCTCTCAGGAAAGTCAATATAAGATTGCATTTACTTTGTCTTCCCAAGTTTGGTATTCCCTAGATAACTTTCAGGTTGGGGAAGCTTCGGCTTAGCATTAAGGAAAGAAAGAGAGTGAGAGTACTCAGTGTTTCAGGGATTTGGACTGAGCCTCCTTTGAAGAAAGAAACTATAAAACAAGGAAGTGGGGGAAAACTCTGGGAAAGCATGGCCCATAAATCCCTATATTTTGCATCGGTTTCATCCAAATTACTCCCTCTGAAATTGTTCTTCTCTGAAAATGGTTGTAGAGGTTAAAGGTGCTGGACGGGACTCCAGAATTCCACGTTCTAATCCCAACTCAGCCATAAAACTGAGTGACTTTGGGCGAAAGTCTGAAGCAGGTGACTTTGGGCCAGTCTCAGACTCTCAGCCTAACCTACCTTGCAGGCTTGTTGTTGTGGGGATGGAATGGAGAGGAGGAAAACTCTGTAAGTCATCTTGGGTTCCTTGCAAGAAGAAGAAAAGTGAGTGTGCTGGTGTCATTAGTGTTGAGTCCCCACTCAGCTATAAAGGTCACTGGGTGAGTTTGGGCCAGTCACAGGCTCTCTGCCTATCCTACCTTGCAGGGTGGTTGTTATGAGGATAGAGCTACGTAAGCTGCCTTGGCTTCCTCACAAGAGAAAACAAAGCGGGCTATAAATGCATCCTGGCAAGCAGAATTGTTGGAAGCCTGCATACCGCTCCTTGGAGCATCTGAATTGGACCCGTGCGATCGGCCGTCACGTGCTGAGCGATTTGGTGGCACGCATGCAGATGTGTGAACCAGCTTGTTGAGAAAAAGCTGCGCACAAGAACCCCCCAAAATCGTCACTAGGAGAGGTTTTAGGAGAGGTTTATTATGGCTCAAGCAGTCCTGTGACCCCTTAAAAGCCTTGGGCTGGGTCCTAGTTTCTGTAAACTTAGTTCTATTCCTGGGATGAGGCATCCCACAGAACGGCAAGGGAGGTAACCAGCAAACCACACAGGAAAGGCAGTGGAGGTGCTGCGCAGCTGTCTGGATCAGAGACCCCTGATAAGACAAGAAGGCCAAGAACAGAAGTAAGCCAGGAGTTCTCAGCAAGCCATTAAGGGTGCACGTTTAGACAGAAATCAGTCCAGCTCCAAAAAGCTGCAGACGTATTTCTGTCTAAACATGCATACAGTGGCACCCTAGCACTGCTGTTTAAATCTCTTTATTTCCAGTGGTGACTTGAACAAAAATAGAGGGAAAGGAGGAGAAACATCTCCCTTGGTATAGGGGGAAAGAAAGGCAAAAGAAACAAAAACACAAGGTGAGGTAAAAGGATTAACGTGTCCATTTCAAAGTCTTTTAAAACCCATTTTTCCCCTGCAGTGGAGGGCAGGACTTGTTCCAGTGGAGCAAAGCTCAGAGAACCAAGATTCAAGGTAGATGCCAGGAAGCACTTCCTGACAGTTAGGACCCCAAGGGTATGGAACGGGCTCCCCCGGGAGGTCGTTGAGGCCCCATCGGTGAGGGTGTTCAAGGACAGACTGGACATGCACATGGTGGGCATGTCATGAGTGGAGCTGGCTGGAGCCGGGGGTCAGACTAGATGGCCCAGAAGACCCCTTCCGACTCGCTCCGTTTCTATGTTTCTATATAAGCACTTTTTACTTCTAAATAAGCACCCAGGCACCTCTGACAGTTGTAGAAGATAAAGCTCAAATGTAGTGAGAACAGAGAGATTTTCAGTCCATTGAATGTCGCAAGGGGCTTTTCCTTTTCTTTGCAACTGACTCAGAATTGGCATTTGCTGCCCCTCTGTCAATCCGCGCATCACAGGGATGTAATTTAAAAGTGCATGTATATCCACTTCCATCATGGATTGTTCAAGATCAGCCACCACCCCCCCTGGCCAGCATGGCCATGATGATGGGGATTATGGGAGTTGTAATTCACTGCAGCTGGGGGGTGCTGGGTTGTGGTGCAGAGTATATAAAAAGGAGGCACTGAGTGGGAGGAGAGGCCCTTTAGGGGATGCTTAAAATCGTCATAGGATGTTTCAGGCATAGGATGTGCTTGGAAATATTCCAGTGGAGAAGAGATAAAAGCCATTAGAGAAGGGATTCAGGCGAGCCATATATGCCAAGGTGATGGAGACCTTAAGTTGCCCGCTCTGTGTCAGAAGCTGCTGATAAGACCAGGAGGCTAAGAATAGATGGAGCTGGGAGTTCCCAGTAAGCCATTAATACGCTGGGCGGGGGGCGGGGGGGGCAGTGATGAAGGGAAAGAGAAGTGGGGGAAGGGGAAGGAGGCGGAATGTCAAGCATGACGAGGAAGAATGCCGAGTGGGGATCGCTTGGCTTGTGAATTTTGGGACAAGAGCTTCCTGAACAGCTGCTTATCAAGAATGAGAAAAGGGTATTTCTGATATCCACTTGGGTGAAATACCAGCGTTGGAACAGGAGAGAGCCCGTGCAGTGACGGGGAAGCTCTGCCGCAGGTCACGGGATGCAAGATCTTGGCTTGAGCCTTAAACACGTCCTTCTCTCCTGGCCTCCCTCACCTGCCCCCACAGGCATGATGAGAATAATAAAGCTGGCCTACCTGGCAGGGTCACTGCAGAAGGGACTGGTCAGGTGTGCGCTGCTAAAAGGGGATTCTTAGAGTGTTAAACTACAGCTTCCGGCATCTCTGACCATTGGCCACACTGGCTAGGTCTGATTTATTTATGTCAAGTGTTTTTATATCACTGCTCAGCGACAAAGTCTCCCTGAGAAACTTACATGCAGTGGCTGCATTCACAGAACACAGCAAGTGGCCCTACATGATTGCAGCTTTTTTACCATCATCCCCCTGATGGGCAGTCAGGTAGTTTCTACATTAACATGGTTTCCATCCCATCCCACCCCCTGCTCAGTCCTCCTGCTCTTGGCATGTATCCCATCAGCCGCTGTGCCTGAAATTCAAATTCAAGGTGCATAATTCCCTGCCCATGTTGCCTGCCTTCTCCTCATTGGTCCACACACAGAGCCTGGATGGCTGGAGCAGCTCCTGCAGTTGCCACTCTTTCCAGAGGACTCTATGGTAGTTGCATACCAGGACTGTGGAAACTATGGTAGAAACCGCCATTTTCCCTCTTCCAGTTCCAGCTCCAGTCCATTTCATCTCATTTCATTTTTTAACTTCTTCCGTCTTGTTTTACCTCCATTTCAGTTTGTCAATCTATTGATTCACTTAGTACTTGCTATTATAGATCGTGCTATTATGCTAGAGTTTATTTCTTTTTTCTAAAAGTTACCTGGTACTTTAAATTCAGGGGGACACTCATATTGTTCAAAACTGCCTTTGCCAACCTGGTGTCCCCCAGCTGTTCTGGACTTCACTTCCCATCAGCCCCAGATATGACCAATGATTAGGAATTATGGCAGCTGTAGACCAGCCTATCTGGAACTCACTGTGCTGGGGAAGACTCTTCAAATTATATAGCAACATTCTGTGATTTAAAAGAACCACATTAAAATAAAACAGCCTGGCCTTTAAGAGTGCTATTTTTGGGATGTAATGCTAACTTGCCTTCTTCTATTTTTTCAGACCAGATACCTTCAGAATATTTAACCTTACGTTTCCAGAAAGGAATAACTTAATAGAGAAGATCCAGGACAATTATCCACCCAACAGACAACAGCCCCAGTACGTGTTGGAATGGCGCAATACCCCTCAGCCGCTACATGCAAAATGCATCAGGACCAACACCAAGTTTTTAAATGAGCCCATATTTTATATGGATACGGAAGACACAAAAACCAAGCAGGTGAGGGCTGCTGATATATTGAAAAGTGAAAGCAAGTTTAGGGTCATCCGGTGTAGCATTCCTTGAACAAGCCTGAGCAAACTTCAGACTTGGGCACTACCCGTGCTGCACTGTCGCTGCAAGGAGGATCTAAACAGCGTTTCTTGTTACATCCAAATCAGGCTAAACTGGTTAGTGGAAACTATGGTTTGCTGAAACAAGCCAAAATCAGGTTGTAAGTTCAGATCCAGTGTTTCAGTGCATAACTAACTGGGTCTTCCCAATTGCATCATGATGACAAACTCTGCGTAGTTTAAGCAGCGGGGCAGCTGAGGGCTGCACAGTTTTAGGGCCTCCGAATAGCCACGCAGAAAGTGGCCAGCAAGGAAGGCACCAGCAGAAGCACACTCCTTCTCATTCATGTAGACATGATGGTGCCATGACTGAAGTGAGTTTGAAATGCAAGTCCACACCTGCTCAGGATATTCTTGAAAAAGCAGGACTGGCAGACAGTTCTGTTGCTCTAACGCGTCAGGAATGCAGAAGCCGTTTTAAAGCATGCCGTGGTGGCCGGAGGGGCGGGGAGGGATCCAAATAAGAATTGTGTGCTTTACAAATAGGAGTTGTGTGGAAACTTGGCCACCCAAAGTAAGGAATGGGACATAAGACACTTATATCCAGGGCAGATGAGTGCCTACTGAGTTTAAGCAGGGTAGTGGGTGCTTCCCACTTCCTCTTCTGGTGTGGGTTGAAAAGGAAATGGGAACTCCTGAGGTGGGAGTTCAACAGCCTCACCCCATTCACATACCACTAAACTATGGCTTGGTGTTACCTCTCAGAGGATCATGAGAACACCTCCTTCATGAGGAATGTTGGTAGTGCTAGTCTCTCTGTGACCTGGCTGTTGATTCTCTGTTTCTTTGCATTGTTGGCAAAGGATTGTTGGTGGCCAGCTAGCGAGCCGTTGGTGCAGCGTCCTAAGCCACCTTACGACAAGCAGAGCACCCAAAGGTGTGACTTCCAGGAGCCAAGCTGCACCTTGTCTCGACCTATTAAGTACAGTCGCATCCTGCAGCCGTCCCGTGGAATAGGTAAGGCTACTGGGAAAACAAATTTCCCTCACACAAAACCGGAGAAACAAAGAAGCAGTTCCTTTCACTGCTAAATAGCATCTCAGCTGCCATAAGATTGCTCGGTTCCCCATCTGCACGGTCTGGAAAGGCCTCCAGACTCACGGATGCAGATCTGCATTGGATTCTCTCAGCATTGGCGCTGCTGTGGAAAGAATCACCTTGCAATATTGTAAAATGACCTCAAAGAAGGGCGTCTGGGGGCATTTGGGAGGAGAGGAGAATGACCCTCACAAGATATGGAATATCCTGGCACCACTTCAGCCTTCTTCCCTCCCATTTATTTTTTATTTATTTATTTAGGAAACTTCTATGCCACCCCATTCACCAAAGCCTTGGGGCGGCTCACAAACATAAATAAACTTCCTTAAATAATATAAATTAACAGTATAAATTAAGTCGCCCTGGCCAAAGAATGAAATGAATAAATACTATTAACAATTAAAATGACATTTGAATAAAAAGGTCTTTGCCTGGCGCTGAAAAACAAATAAGGACGGCGCCAGGCGGAGGCTCTGCGTTAGACAGCCAAATCAAATCAAGCCAAAATGTTCCCCGAAACCAAAAATGACAAAACTGAAGCTGCCACATTTTGGGCACAACATGAGAAGGCAAATTTTCCTGGAGAAGACAATCGTGCCAGGAAAAGTCAAAGGCAGAGGAGGAAAGGGAAGACCAAATATGAGATGGATGGACTTCATCAGGGAAGACTTGAATTCATAAAAGCTGAGCAAGACTGTGAGGAACAGGATGTTTTGGGGGGCTTCCTTCATGGGGTCACCATAAGTTGGAGCTGCCTTGATGGCACATAACGACCAGTGGAGATGGCAAGGCGGTGCGAATGCAGAGGTGAAGTTGTCACTGTGCTCCTTCCATCTTGCACAGGATGCCTGCAATTCTTTTGAGTTTGGAGGGTTGAGGCATCCCCCTTGGATTGCGCCCCAATGCTGGTTCGGTTCATACGTGTCAGCTTGATTTGACATGATGTGGACAGAACAGAGAGCAGCCGGCAGCGTCACGCCCCGCTTGATAAGGTTAACACACCCTAAGAAAGAAGAAGGGTCTCCCGCTATTTTTGGCTCACTTTTAAAATGACTGGCAGTCTCCTGCGAGGTCACCTCCTCCTGATAAAACAGGGAATGTCAACTTTCCCATTCAGTTGAGGCACCCCTTTTGTTTGGGTGGCAGAAAAGCAGCCCCCAGTTTGCCTTTGGGCTTCCTGCCTCTCTGCCGTGGCCCAAAAGGTTGCAATGGTAGCAGATGTTTGGATCTCCAACAGAGCAAGCCTGGTTGGGCACCTGCCAAGGTCCCAAACTCCAGCAGAAGGCTCTGGACTGGCTCCTTGTCACCGTTGCAACCTGCCTGTTCACCGGCCTCTTGCTCTGGCCCAACCAGTGGTGGCGGTGGGAAGGAGGCTGCTTGTTCACCAGCTCCCTGCCTGCCTGCCTGCCTGCCAGGCAAGCAAGCAAGCAGAAACGGTGATGCGAAAGAGGAGGCCCAGCTGGTGGCAGTGGCCATGAGAAGGGAGACTCATGGTGGGAGGCTGCCTTGCCCAAGGCTGCCAAAACCCTGCACCAGGATTGATTGCTCAGCAGCATCTGGATGGCTGGGCTGTATTGATTCCAGCTGGGCTGTCCTGGCTTTGGTGAGTCAGGCTGCAGCTGCAACGTCACAGTGACCCTCCTTCCAAGATCTTCCCCATTGCAACCATGCGCACCTTTGGTGCATTTAGGAATTAATCCCGGCCCCCAGACAGCTTTACTCAGAAGCCCACCTGGCTGAGTCTAATGGAAAGACTGGCACCTGCAGCCAGCCAGCCAGCCTGTATGGGCAGACCATTGAGGAGAGAGCAGGGGTCGAATTTCAGGTACAGTGGCAGATGGGATGCATGCCAGCAGCCAGAGGACAGAGCAGCAAAACCACCATAATGTGGAAACCTCTTGCTTGTCTGTTGGATAGATCATGGTGCAAAAAAGGCATAACCCATGGCGACCATGCAGGGTTGCTTGTCACAGGTGAATCCAGCCTCGCTCTTTCGGTCTGATAATGGGAAGCTCCAGTTCAATAGGTGGGAAGAATGTGAGAGCATCAGGCAGCCTCTGAGAAACCTAGAAACAGAATGAGTCAGAAGGCGCCTCCTGGGCCATGGGATAAGTTGAAACGCCCATAATTTCCAGCCAGCACCTGATATTGAGAGATACTGGAAATTGGAGCAGGGAAGTTTCAGTTAGCAGTCTTTGGTAGGCTGCTGCTCCCCTTCCTCCTCCTCCTCCAGGTCATGTGAATTACTTCCTTTGGTTTCTCCTCTGCCATCACTTGACCGCTCCACAATAATTCTGCTCCAGCAACTATTAAGTCTGCCTGTGAATTCTGCCTGGGTTGACACGGGAGAAAAAGGATCGCTTCCATATGCAAACACATGTGCTGTGCTGCTGACCCAGAGCCGGCTGTCTGTCTGGATTTGGATGGAAGCTCTGCAGAGCAGAAGAGCGGTTTGTCCTGCACATGGTGGACTAGGCTGAGCTTTGCTTCAAGGGCCATGCGCAGTGAGACATGCCCTGGCCAGTCAGCCTTTGCAGGGGGCAGAAATAATGCTTGGGATGAGAAGGCCGGCACTGTAGTCCTCATTTAACAAAAGCAACAGATCCCCCCCCCCCCCCGCAGTTACCTCCAGCATAATTACTCTTTTTTCTGGGCATTAGTATAGATTCAGAGGGGCTACAAAGGATATCTCAGGTCACCAAGCCTAATGCAAATCCATGGTAGCCAGATTCATCTGTCTGACGCTTAAGCCACCCTTGAGATTTGTTTATCCAGGTTTTCTCTGACCTGCTGAGCCACAGAAGAAATGGTGTCAGTGGGTTAGTTCTGAATATGGAGCCTTTTTCAGGCATCTAGCTCAATATTTGGGGTACAAGATGGGAAGCAGAAACACCAGCGATTCCCAGTAGAGTCCTTGTAGGTGCGTAAAAGTCACCTACTAGGTTCTTACATGACCTTGATACTAAGAAAGAGTTTCTATTTATTAATAAAATGAAGCAGGTCCAGGTTCCTGCACTCCCTGAACATAAGAAGAGGCCTTATGCATCGTGCCAGGGATGTGTGAGGAATCTGTTGCGGGTGGGAATCTGTTGGATTCTCTGACTCGGCTACCTGGACTCCGGTCTGTTTCCAGCTGTGAGTGAGTGCAGGGTGAGCTCTCCCGGCAGTCGCATGAGGCCCACCAGGGATCGGGCCCTGCACAACCACTGTGCAAGCGGCTTCCCTCTTCCACGCCGTGTGCAAGGGCTTTCTCTCATTTGTTCTGCTGCAGTTCTTCCTGCCGCCCTCTCTGCTTGGCTCACTTTCTAAGAAGGGCTGAGCAGAGAGACGTCTGCGGATGCGAGGGGGTAGATTACTCAGTGCTTCAACTCATCTCCGTGTCTCGTCCAGCAGTCTCTTTCCTCAGGGGCCATGAGATGCTTGTGTAAATGCTGCAAGGAGGTGACGAGTGGTGGACCCCAGTGCTGGAAGGCGGCAGCCGTTCCGTTCTTAAGGAGCCATCCGATGGTGGGGAAGCTTTTTCAGCCCGGGGGCCCAGTTGGAAAGTGCGAACCATCTTGGAGGCACCTGCTGACTGTGGGCAGAGCCCAAGGCAGGAAGAGTGAGGCCACATGTGATAACATTCATTTTTATTACTATGTTTAATGTATACCCTGCCGTTCTTCCTTTTGTAAGGAATCCAAGGTGGCTTACAAGATTCCCCCCTCTCCATTTAATTGTCACAGCAACAATCCTTTGAGGTAGGTTAGGCTGAGCTGCAAGGATCTCACCTCATGAACTTCATAGAAACAGAGCAAGTCAGAAGGGGCCTCCCGGGCCATCTAGTCTGACCCCTGGCTCCAGCCGGCTCCGCTCATGACATGCTCACCATGTGCATGTCCAGCCTATCCTTGAACACCCTCACCGATGGGGCCTCAGCCCATTCCACACCCTCGGGGTCCTAACTGTCAGGAAGTACTTCCTGGCATCCAAATGGAACCTTAGTTCCCTGAGCTTTGCTCCCTTGGAGCGCGTCCTGCCTTCCTCTGCAGGGGAGAACAGGTCTCTACCCACCTCCATGTGACACCCCCTCACATACCTGTATGTCGCCAACAGATCCCCTCCGAGTCTCCTTTTCTCCAGGCTGAAGAGACCCAGTTCCCTCAGTCTCGCCTCATACGGCATCCCCTGCAAACCGGCCACCAACCTTGTGGCCCTACGCTGCACTGACTCTAACAAGCAGGCCAAGTGGGGGCTAGAAGCCACGCTGGATACACCATCGTGCAACACTGGCTTGCGATTCTGGTGGAACCTCGCTGTGATCGCTGTCAAGATCTGAGCCTGGTGAGCCTGCAGACTCCGAGGGTGAATTACTCCTCGGAGAGCCAGTGTGGTGTCCCAGTTTATGTGCTGGACTGGAACTCCGAGGATCCAGTGCCGGCCGCTGCTCAGCTCTGAGGCTCATCAGGTGAGTCTGGGCCTGTCACTGACTCTTGGGCAAACCCACCTCACAAGTCTCCTTGGCATCCTTAGAAAAGGGAGAACGCCTGGGTTATAACGGTGATCATACGTATGCAAAATGAAATAAAGTGCTTCATAGCCACACAGACAGTCCTCGTGTAGAGACTGCTCAAACAACCCTTCCGTCTGAATGGTGCAGCCCGAATACGCCCAAGGAGCTCTTGTGGGAGCTGACACTGGAAACCGGAAGGGGCGCGAACAGTGGCGAGAAGGTGGACAGCAAGGAAATGTGGGACAGGAGGACTGAAGCGGTGGGGTGGGAAGGGTGACGGAGCTTCATTCAGGTTTCTCATTCCTAACCTGCCCTTCCTCCGAGGGACCCAGAACCTCTCAACAGCCCTGGTTTAAAGATGGAGGGGGCCAACAGTCACAAGATGCTGCACAGTTATTCCTTCCCTTCCTCCTGGATTTTGTGTGTGTGTGTGTGTGTGTGTGAGAGAGAGAGAGAGGGGGGGGAAGATGAGAGATGTGGGAAACATGGGGACTTCCAAGTTGAAGATGGCATCTGTAAAATGTTGTGAAGGAAGCAGTGCCGTGGCATTATAAAAGATTTGTTGGAAAGACTTGTTGCTGTTCCTGACTCTGGAACAGCAGCCGTACTCGGGTAGCTGAAGTGTACCCCGCAGATAAAAGCCACCTAATGAGACCAGGATGAGTTATATCAGAGCCCTCCCAAGAACCCTTTAAGGTAGAGCAACTCTGGGAGGGAGGGAACATGGCCTGCAGCAATTTCTGTAGCTGAGTAATGGGGTTGAACCTTCCGCTTTTTGTATCCCTGAGCCGGCGAGTCCTTCTGCTCAGTGTGGTTTCGGTTGCCCGTCTGGCTGACGACATCCAGTGACCTCAGTTTCCATTCTGCTTTCGGCTGTCCGTGTCACAGTTCCGCTCGCGGTGCCTCGATCGCCAGTCAGCCTCCCAAGGCTTTTCGAGGAGCGGCTCACCTTCAACCAGCATTACGATGCCAGAGCGACTCCCTGCATCCCGTATCAAGGGAAGGTAAGGCAATGTGCATCCGGCACTATTCACATGCATCAGGAAGCCAGAAGGACATGTTTATCCCCAGGGTGCCAACGCATTGTTCTAGCACAGGGGACCGTGCAGATTGCCAGCATTTGGTATTAACAAATGGCACGCAGACCGTCTTATTGGCCTCTGAGGCTTTCGAAAGACAGGGAATGAAATACTCGGTTCGGCAGTTTGCTGTGACGGCATCGGTCTTAGGATGAAGTCGGAGGATGTGAGGGATGCATGAGGACCACTGCTGTAATGTTCAGAGCAGGTGCCATCATCACTGGCATGGAGGGCCCATCTGGCTGTGTGTGGAGCAGAGAGGTAGCTGGCAGCCACAGACTCCATTTTAGGATGAGCCATCTGGGCTTCCGTGGCTATTGTAAATGTTAATCGAGGTGTTGTTAAGCAAAAGAAACTTGCTTAGTTCCATTTCTAGGGAAAGGAAGAAAACACTTGCAAACTCTGTGTGTGTGTGTGTGTGTGTGTGTGTGTGAGGGAGGGAGGGAGGGAGGGAGGGAGGATCCTTAGCATTTGATTTTCTATCTTTTTCTCCCCCTGCAAAAAAAGGGTCTAAAAGTACCAAATATCAGTACAGTGTACTAGTAATCAAAACAGACTAATCTTAAAGTGGGACTTGCAACTCCAATGTTGCAGAATGGAGTTCTGTTCAGTTCCAGCCAGCCATTCCCTGCATTACCACTCCATCGGATTTCCTTTCCTTCTCCCGGGTTTTCCCTTTCCTCCCTTCCTTTTCTCTTCCTCCAAGAGCAAGGCTGTATTTTGTGGGTGTTAAGCACGATCAAGTGCTTCTAGGACTGTTGCTGAGGTTTGCCCCTTTGGCTTTGGCGTTTTCCCCTCCTAAATATTTTTGTGCATCCTTGTTGTTTGTGGTTCCCCCAGGCAGGCTTATGCCTCGCTCCTGTTTCTCCGTGACCCTGCTGTGGTGCTAATGCTCTTGGCTCCCAGCAGCTGAGTGTGGTATTATTTATTATGTTTTATGTATAATATGTATATCCCACTCCACATCTGAACAGATTCAGGAGTGGTGAAGAAAAGACAAAATAAAAGCACTATATTAAAATGTGTAAAAAGATTAAAAGTGTTCAAGAAAACAGAATACCAAATCACAATTATGGTGAGTTAGTCAGAAAGAATTCCTGGCACGAAGATGTCCTCACCAGGTGTCACGCACGTGAGTTCTGCCAGGATGGGGAGCTTCACAAGCGTGCCTGAGATCCGACAGCATGCATGTACACAACACATGTCAAAAACAACACAGCATTGGGGCGTGTCTGATTTCTAGACACAGGGAGTTTTACAGAAAAGGAACCAACACACTGACGATTCAGCTCTGGTGGACTGCAGGAGATCATAAGGCCATGCAGAACCACTAGGACCTCTTCTCTGGTGCCTACAAATTCTGGCTGCATATGACGTCTGTCAAAATAAGCTGTTTTAGCCCTGTTAAAAACACTTTTCTTTTAATAACTCGTGAAATGGGCTCATGAAGAGTGAAGGGCTGTACCTTTCCAGAGTACTCAGAGGCTGGGGGAAGTATGCAGTCTGAAGACAGAGTGATGCCACTGAACTAGACCTTCACATAAAAAAAAGGGAGTGGATGCAAAGATCCTCTACCTCAGGGCTCCTCAAACTTTTTGAATAGGGGGCCAGTTGAAAGGCTGCAGTGACCATTGCGGGCCAGTGGGGGGGATGCCTGGGGGCATGGGCTGGTGAGGTGCTGTCGGGCACGCATGAGGTGGCATCGGGCGCGCGTGGCAGTGGCTCACTCGCTCAGAGATCTCCCGCGAGTCCAAAACCATCTCCGAGCAAGCCTCCACCTCTCTGCCTGCGCAGCAAGCACGTGCGCAGGCCACATGGATGGCCATGGCAGGCTGGATCCATCCCATGGGCTGTAGTTAGAGGACCCATGCGCTGCAGCTTTGTTTTTCTCTTGGCAGCTTTTTGACAGCTGTCAAGAGGAATGCAAGGTAACAAATTGACATTCGTGGATGAAGCCTCCTGCACTTTGACAGCAGGGAGTTAAACCAGGACCCTGACCAGGGAAGATTTTGCACCTTTGCAGGCTGGAGGTGTGTACTTGCACACCTTCGAAATAGCAATAAATAAATAAATACAAATATTTGTGCATGTTTCTGGCACAGATTTCTAAAAATAAAAAAAATATTACCGTAAGAATGGTGGTTCCTTCAGGGGTGTGCTGCTTCAGCATTTTGGAGGGGGTATCACTGGATAGTTCCCTAACATGAAAAAGCTGCAGAAAAAAACCAGAAAAAGCAGCAGTGACCGTACCCAAAAACAGGTTGCAACTGGAGCTGGGAGAACAAGCTGGTGTTGGTCACTCCACGGTGCCGCTTGAGCCCTGGTGGAGAGGCCGTCCATGGCGATGGCCTGGAAGCAGCAAGTGGGGCTGCCCTTCCTGAGGGGCTCTCTTGCGGTTTCCCTGTCCCCACGACGGGATCCGTCTGCCAGGTGTGGATGACACCTGAACCCATCATGGGTCCAACAATGCTAGAACAAGCCATGGGTTATCAGGGTGGCTTGTTGTCCCCAAACAACCCACCCTGCCAGAAGCAGTCCAGGCTCATGTAACATGGCAACCCACCATGGTTCATTCCCCTCAATGGGCCAGCATGTTGTGCAAATGCAGGAAGACATGGACTTTTTTGTTTTGTTTCATTGCATTTCAAGAAATTCCATTCTTCTCAGGTGGCCCTAATGTCCAACATCGTTTGGGAATCAATCATAAATCTTTTGGCCCACACAAGCAAATATGTCTAGAATAGTATCCATGGCAACCCATGTCACAAGGGATGAAATCTGAGGGGAACAGACTTTGCCCAGCAGGAAGTGGGGAGTAGGGAAAGGAGGGGAGCGAGAGCAACATGGGAGGAAATCTGCTTCTTCTGCCATTCTTCTTCCCCAGCTTTCCTGCCCTTCCCCATTTCCTAAATCCAAGAGCTGATGGCCCAGCCCGTCTTCTGTAATGCCTGCTATCAGCCGTAGGCTGTTGGCCAGAGGAGAGGCTGGAAGAGAGAGGAGGATGCCGTTCCAGCCCTTGAAGTAATAAACGAACTCGGCTCGCAGCTGCATCTCCTCACTGCTTACGTTTCCCTGGTTAACATCAGCCTTGTTTCCCTTTCCAGAAACATGGCAGTTTTGTGTGGACAGAGATAAAACCGGCGAGGGGGACTGCAGCTCCTGAGGGAACTGAAGGCCAGCCGTGTGCTCAGGAGTCGGGCGCTTTGGAGCAGCCAAAAGCAGAAAAAGGACGCTCCACAGAAAACTGCATGAGCTCAGCCTGTTTTCGGCTGCCGGATTCCCAGGAGGCAGCACCAGGCTCGGATACATGCTTATCAAAAGCAGGCCTCCGGGCAGGAGCCAAAGTAGACCCCGAAGCCCCTGAAAAAGGACGGGAGGCTGCAGCGGTTCCTCAGCCCAGCAAGGTGGATGTGAGCCATGCTTCAGGGGAGAGGCCTGCCAGCCCACCGAAGTCGGGTGCTCGCGATACTTCGCAGGACCCGTTACCCCCCATTCATCAAACAGCACAATTGCCGGGAGAAATTCAAACGGCCTAGAAGCGCTGTCCAAGTGAGGGGGAGTTTGGCCCAGTGCAATTTCAGTAATGCCAAACACAAACTAACACCAGCAAATTGTTTTAGGATACTCTAGCTTTGCTACATAACAACAGCTGCAGCCATTTTCGACAGCTTTCAAAAATGAGAGGCCCATTAAAATACACCCACTCACACACAATTCCCTTCCCCCCCACACACACACATGAGTGCAGTTCATTTTTCACTTGTGCATATGCAAATTATTTAGACTTTTGTTAGGAAGAGGTAATTACTATTAAGATGGATTAAGTATATTGGGAATAAATGCTTAGCAGTTAATAGTGTTTAGGAATGAAAGCAATTTTAGAATTTCTATATTGTAACTACTGCAATAGGTTGTTGTTTTTATTTGATACACAATTGTGTTTTTCAGTCCCTGAATGATGTCTTTAAAAGTATGCATTCTGTCAAGAACTGCAGATCAGTGGAAACTGGTGCAAGAAATATGATCTTTGGATGTTCTGGGTGTCATCCTGTGATGAACAGAACCAATTGTTGTTTCTGTAGGAAAAGGTGACAGTTAAAGGAGACAATTTGCTGCAGTCCATAAGTATGTTCCATTGCTCAGCTCAGTCCGGAAGGGCATTTTTAGAGCAACCTTCACTTTGCTGTAACATTTTCCTGGAAAAGGTTCTGATCTCAAGTTAGGAGTGCAGATTACATTCAAAATATGTTTATAGATTCGTCCACAGCACAGCGCTAAGGTCACACCATGTGTTCCAAATGTTTAGTGGAGCATGTGAAACATTCCCAAAGATAGTATGAGATAAGCTGTTAAGAACATAAGAAGAACCTGGCTCGATTAGAACAAAAGGCCCATCTCAGGTTCTGCTTCCAATAGACAGCCATCTTGTGGGCAGGTGTGTTCAAAGGACCATGAGGGCCAGCATCCTTCCCTATCCCAGCAGGGCTGCAGTGCATGGAGCTGTTAAGTTGGGTATCTGCTTTGTAGGGGTTTCCCCGTTTTCAAGCCACACATTCCAACCCAAGTGCACAGCCACCGGTGTCCAACATGCGCAGTGGGAGCTTCCACACTTCACCACCTCCTCTGTGCATTCAAAAGAACTTGCAAAAGAACTTGCATGCATGTTTTTCACTATATCCATCTAGTTTCTGTCTGCACAAGAAGAAACACCACTGATCCCATCATACTTATTTATTAACAATATTTCCCCCCCGTCCTTTACGAGACGTCCCAGGACATGTTACAGCCATCTTCTTCACCATGAACAGGACACAAGAACACCCTTAAGGATCATCAGGTCTTCGGATCGGGGGACAACCTGCAGCCAACTTGTTCTAGTCAGTTCATTTTTATATCACATTTTTCACAATACATTGAGCTCAAAACAAATACATTTGCCATTATTGTGATATTTATTTATTTACATGTATTTATAGGCCGCCTATAATTGCCGAGGCCTTCCTATCATATTATGCTATGATACTCGGTGAAAGGTGCAGTCCTATGGCCTCTTAAATTGTCTGGGGGGACATAGGATAGGTTGGAGTCCCCACTCCGGTTTTGGAAGAACAGTCTGAGGACAGAGCTGGGACTTCAACCTCAAGGATGTTCCGTCTCCCCTCGCGGCCAGCACAGCTCTTCCTGCTGAGCCCAGAAGACCATAATTGAAGTTGTCGGGATGGAAAGGGAAGACGCTAAGGACTACTGTCATCTGAGGAATCTTGGTGGCAGCTCAGCTTCTCATCACCAGGAGGGAAAGCCATGTGGCCAACTGAGCCAATGTCTCAGTGTTTTGGAGGGTGGGGGGAGCATGGGGGCCAATCCTAGTCTCTGCTATTCCTGTCTTAAATTGGATCCCCATAATCCCCTGAGTTTGCAGCATTTGCGGGCAGCAGTATTGGATGGCACCAACTCCATCTTATTTATTGCACTTCTAATCTCCACAGGAACTAATGTTGTGTCTGGGCAGACTCCAGTTTATAAAAAATGCCATAGCGCAGTTAAAACTGCAAATAAAAGAATAAATTACAACCCAGTGCAAAATAATAAAGAGCGCAGGAATCTGTAAGAGAGCCGTCGTAAGGCAGAATGAGGTCTCTTTGCAACTCATTAAAAACATTGAAATTTACATAAATGCAAGACAGAGTATTACCTCAGTTCACAATTACCTAGTCCAATCATAACATATCCTGGCATTGAACTGTTCTGGAAATAGTTTGCAGTCTGAGATCTAACAACAAGATTGTGCATACCAGAAGGAAAGAGTGTGGGGGGACCCACAAGGCCCTTCAAGCAGCAAAAAAAGAGATCCTGCCCTAACCAGGGTGGTACCCCCTGAGAAAAGAGCAGGACTTCAAGCGAAGCATCCGCTGCCACCCTGGATTATATAGCCAGGGGTTGGCACACAAATGTCCTCCAGAGGTTTTGATTACCACTCACACCACCTGCAAGCCAGTGTGGTTAAGGATGATGGGATCTGTAGTCCAAGAGCTCTGGAGGGTGCCGCATTGTCCCTGATCTGGGCAAGTGTAAGTCGATCGACATCCATTTCCATGAGCTCAGAAACTAGAATGAATTTGGATCTCTTTAATCCTCCAGACCACATTTTTTGACCCACGTTAGACCCAAAGGCACCCTGCATAATCAGAAAAGCAATTCCATTCCTGTAATGAGGACACCACAGTTTTTCCATTTCTTCCCTGCTGTATCCCCAGAGCCACACCACATGCTGTTGTGGAGGGCCTCCTCAAGTGTGCGGAAAGAGAGAAAGCTGAGCTCTATTCATACAAGTGAGGATCCCAGCTACGATAGCCAAAAATGAAGAGCTGCTGTGGATTAAAATACCTGACTAGCCTCCCCTGGAATGCCACAGGCAACAGTTGCTTGGGGTGGGGACATGGATCAAATGGCTAGAACCCCTGCCCCACTCAGCCAGCTCGGGGCCCCCTAAGTGAGCCTGCCCTGGTTTTACAAATGGAATTGGCAGGACAGGGCAGTACCATGTTTTGGACGGGCCCTTATTAATATCGTCGTTTAAGATGAAGGAAGGCATTTGTACCTTGGGAGATTTTGTTTGCATGTTTTGGTGTTTGTGCTTTGTTTGTTTCTCCTGTAGCTCGGAGATTGGATTTAAGATTAGACACCGAAACCTTTCCTACTGATGCACAGGTGCCTATTTCAGCCCTTTGTTCCACACAGCAAGAAAATAAGCCTCACACGAAGCCCTCCAGATCAGCCAGCACAGAGTTTGCCTGCCACAGAAATCTTTGTTCCAGCCCTTGTATGAAAGGCAAAAATTGTGACAATCGCTTTTTAAGTGCTTGCTTGTTTTTAATGATGGTTGTAGCGGTCCTGGCGTGATTTAGAGCTGTGCACCTCGCTGGGCTTGGAGCACACGGCAAGCTGTGAACTGAGAAGGTACATATGCACAGAGCAGGACACAAAACAGGCACGTGTGGAGTGGAATAAAGAGGCCACATGGTTTCTTTTCCCTGCAGACCATGCAAATCTGGACACTCATCTAAGGCACTCCGACTCAGTCTAGTAGACGCATTCTCTTCCCGAAAGAGAGGCTCACAGACGGCAGCCTGATGCAGCCAGCGCACCGTCAGGGGCACCTTGCGTGGAAAATGTTCCGCCTCCCCTCATGTCACCCTTCTGATCTTGACCTGCAGACTATGACCCTGCCCAGCATCCCCTGGCAGGGAGCTTGGAAGTCCCGGCAGGGTCTTCTCGGAGGGCAGCACATTCCACGCTGCCCTAGGGACGTTTCTCAGGGCCCGGCGGCGACCTCAGGACCAGCCCCTTTCCTCCGCTCCCATCTCAGCTGCCGGCCCCTTTCCCCATGGAAGCGGCGCTCCCAGCCCTCCATCGCCCCAGCTGCCTCTTCCTGCCCTCCCCGCAGTGCTGCCACTGCGATCCCTGGTGTGGTGGCCGCAACACCAACCAATACATCCTATTTCTCCCATGTTTTTAAACTCAACACCCTTTTGCCACTTTCACACCTGGGACTGCTGCATTACAGTCGCTGGTGAAAACTGGGTTCAAGGGTGTTGCATTAATGTGCCCGCTCTGCCTTGTATGGTCTTTTTGGCTTGTTATGTGTCCTTTGCCTCTCCGCCCATGACAGCCATTTTGTGGGGGTGCCCGGGACAGTGCCTCAAATCACCAAATGTTCCAACAGCCTGCAAAAGTTACCTGCACATGGTCTTATATACAGGGTCGCTTGGCTGGAAGTCAAAGAGCATCGCTATGCGTTGAGAGCTGATATTGTGGCGTCTCCTGCACACTCTTTCTCAATTGTTGGTGGGCAGGAGCAGGAGGAGGAGAACGGCGTAAGACACTTTGAGTTCATTGGGAAAAAGTGGGATACGAATCTAATAAATAATAGAATAATCATCCTCCAGACTCAGAGGATTGCAGGCATCCTATGGAACGTGGGAGGAGCACAAAGACACGCGTTGTCGCCATGCTCTTCTCATCCTCCAGAGCATCCAGATGCCTGCTTTCAGCTGTTTTTCTCCTCCTTGCAAGGAGGAAAGGCCAAAAACACTGAGTTGCTTTGGCGGACAGCAGTGACTCCCCCTCCTCGCTCCCCATCCCTACTTTGGAGGTGATCTTTCATCTTCAGAGCCCAGAAGATGCAAAAAGAACCAATGTCTGGAAGGGTAGCCCACTAAGGTCAGTGCTCTGACCCAATAGGTCAGATAGGACTCCAACCGATCCTATTCCCCCCCACCCCGCAAGGTTGGGAGGCCATAGGATCATGTATTTTACCTCTTTGTTACCTGTCTTACCTGCTAGTTTACCTGGCCCTTTGTTTTTAATTTGTACTGCAGTTTTTCACTTTTACAGTGCACTTTCTGTTGTATTTTATGGTGCCAACTGTTGTGAACTGCCCAAAGAGCTTCAGCAATCGGGAAGCATAGAGATGTGATTAATACACAAGAGCGTGAATGTGTGTCATTGGCTTTCATTTGTAGCTTTTCTGGTTTGCTTGAAAATCTGCTCAGGAGAAAAAGGTGAAATGCCCACAGAGTGCAGCACTTAAGAGCACTGGGGCCTATTCTGTGTTTGCCAGACCAGCACCGCGCATCCCAGTTCTACGTATTCAACACAAAAGTCTGCAGCATAGCATAGCAGAGAAGAGAAAGGAAGGAGCAAAGCTTGTTTGAGCCTTCCTGTGCCTTCCTTCTTGGATTCCACCAGAAGATGATCCCTCTTCAAGGGACGGAAGGAGAAGGAGACCCTTCATGGACTTGTTCTGAAATGGGAACAGCACATTTGGCCCTCTGGATATTGTTCAACTCTAACTCCCATCAGCCTCAGCCAGCATGGGCAATGGCCAGGGATTATGGGAATTTTAGTTCAACAAAATTGAGGGTGAATCATCACTCCCCGGCCCTGATTTTTTAGCTGCTGGCCTCATTGTTTTCTGCCTGACTTTCCTCCAGTCCGTGTTCCTTTCCTTTTTAATGTCATGTTGTCTCTACAGAACCTTGAACAGCATTTGATCTAAGAAGGCCCAGATCTGGGCAGCATTGGTGTTTTTCACCAGAAGCCTCTGACCCATGGCAAAATCCCTGGAAGGCACGTCCTGGCATTTGCAGGGTTATTCACCCCGGAGAATGAGCCCCCAACAATCTCCCCCATGCCGGATGCTTGAAGCCTACTTGCCACCCCCAGTGTGTGCAGTGACTTTTCCTAACATTTTGAAAGCATTGTAGGGAACCCAGGCAAGAGGCATTACCTCAGAAACAGCTGCGCAAACTCTCCAGCTGGGTCACTGATCTGCGTGAACTAAAGGAATTTCAAAGCTGCAACGGGGAGATAAAAGGAGACATTCTGTTTTCCTCAGCGGGCACCAAGAGAAGCTTTCAAAGTGTCCTTCCTGTTCCACAGAGCAGGGATGCGTTCCAGTGCCCTAAGAATGCAGGGGTTACCCCCAAATCCCCTGGCCTCTTCCCCCTCAGGGGTAGGTCCTGAGTAAAGCCCGGGTGAGGAGCTGCTGCTTGCATATTTCTTGCAGGCAAGTAACTCTCTCAGCGCCTTTCGTCATCTGCAGGGCCCTCCTCCAGGTGCCCAAGGAAGGACGCAGGCTGCATGGTTGAGGAATTCACAGTTGTGTCCACGGAGTTGCCCAAGGAGGCCCACCTGGCACTTTTCAGCCCCAGGTTATGGCCTTTTTGGCACCCAGGCATCTGAGAAACATTTTATCCCTATCCTTATAGATTTCAGTATTCATATATTCTTCCGCTCTTGTTCATTTTGCATTGTATTTTGTTCTTTATTTTATTCTTGCAGCCATTCATTAAAAGTGTCCACTGGACACTATTTAAAGGGAAGATGAAAAGGTATAATAAACAAGAGGGAATTCTGGATTGCTGGGCCG